AGCGCTTCGAACCGCAATGGATATTTTACAGGACGGCCAGTTCGGCTTCTAACGTATTTTTTGCGTGAGCCCACTAGACATGATAGCATTACATATCAAGGAACCCGCGCCTTTGTCACAGGTGATGCGGCAATTCGCTACGACAGCATCGGCTGACAGAAACTGGGGGCAGCTCATCTGCCTAAACTGCTCTGGCTGCATACCCCAGTCTCCCGAGATGACCCCAGGATCCGCCAGACTCTTGACAAACGCCAGCAGGGCTTGAAGGATATTCTTATTCTCACCTCGCGCTCCGTGCTTGTGCAGACGGTACACCGAGATGAGGGCACTATTATCCATTGCAAGTGCTACTGCGGTGGACCCCACAATAGGGTCATTGCCTTGATGGGCAGAATTCCGAACATGGGAAACAGACGTGACTGGACTGCAGCGTGAGTGCGAACATGCATCGCTTCAGCGTCAGTGGTGCCACACGCCGACCTGCCAGACGGTCGGGCGGCAGTGGAACTAATCTTCCAGCTGTCCTTGATCATAGCATCGATCACATCCTGTTCTTCATCTTTCAGGGGGGAGACACTCACACAGAAAATATGGGAAACTATGGGAAGTGGGGGGGAAGACACAAACACATAAAATATGGGAAAATATGGGGGATCCTATTATTTGTGTGAATTTACTTGTGTGCCCCAGGGCCCCTTCAATCTTGCGACACGTCTTAACCCGGCTACCACACAGATGTGACCATTTTTGTGCTTGGCAGCTGATTCCCGAGCCCGTGGTCCCCGTTCGGCAGTGGTGGCGAGTGGGGGCCGATGATATTACAGCACTCGCACCTGTACTATGCCCTATGCTGTTTTTTCGTAATATTGCTGGTCGCCTCCCTACATTCCTGCCGGGATGGAGCTCCAGGGAAGAAGAGAGACAATTCGCGTGCAGAGGGCCTTCCCACGTTGGAAATTAAACCGGAAATGCGAGAACGCCACCAGAGAGATACGCTGAGTCGATTGCTGGTGATCCCGATCCGCAGCCAGCTTGCGCGCCACCGGGAGAGGACCGTGACCTCTCGCGAGCTGACCCACCAAGTTGGAAATACCACTGGAAGTAATTTTGGAAACAGTCTCGCTCACAGACCAACCCACCAAACTGTCAGTAAGAACGCCACCAGAGAGAAGAGCAGAGTCGAAGGGTGGTGGTCCCGATCCGCTGCCAGCACGAACGCCACCAGTGGATGACTGCGGCCTCCAGCGAGCCGACCCACCCATGTTCGACATATTTACTTGGCACCTCGCGAGCTGCCTCATCGTCGAAATCCATTTCCACAACGGCAGAGGGATCAAACTCTCCGTCCATGTTGGAGGTTGCTGTCACTGCAGGCCCCACGTCTACGGAATCATACCCCCTCGCGGAAGTGGGGGAACACCCAATCGTATTTAATGATGCCGCGTGGTGCACATTGTTTGCATGATGATGATACGCGCGGCCAGCGGCGGCATCGGCCACCTCCCTCCCAGAAGTCACGTGAGAAGCCGTCGAAGCGTCGCTTCTCCCAATTGGATTGCGATCGCAGTCACGGTCAAGACCAACGGGGGCAACGACCACCTCCCTCGCGGGAGCCTCATGACCGGCCGCCGTAGAGTAGCCATTCCCGATTTGAGTTTGCTCGCAGTCAGGGTCAAGGCCAGCGTAAGCATCGGCCACCTCCCTCACGGGAGCCCCGCGAGTGGTTGCGTCGTCGCAGCCATTCCCGACTGGAGTGATCTCACAGTCGGGTCCATGCGCTCCTTCTCCACGTGCCGAAGCACACTCTCCATGATGATACGCGCGACCAGCAGGGGCTTCGGCCGTCTCCCTTGCAGGAGCCCTGCGAGAGGACGCCGTAACGTTTCCTCTTACAACTGGGGTTGTCTCAAAGTCAGGGTCTGGACCAACGGGGGCACCGGCAACTTCCCTCACGGGAGCCCCGTGAGCGGTCGCCGCAACGCCGTCATTTCCCATGCATTGCCGTCACAGTCATGGTCCTGGCCAGCGGGGGGTTCGGCCACCTCCCTCACAGGAGCACCAGGAGCGGCAGTCTTACGATTGTTGTTCCCGATTGGAGATCTCTCACAGTCATGACCTTGAGCTTTTCCTTTTGATCCTAGTCTGGCAGCCTCGGTAACCAGTTGATCACTGGGACTTTCTCCTTGCCAGCCCGAGCCGTCCTCGCACTCGCTCCCTGCTGAGTGGCCCCTTGCGGTTCACTTCTGCACGGGGGTCCCTACTTGCTTGCGATCTTTCTTTGATCACGCCTTCACTCCTGATTTGGCGCTGGCCCTGGCTGAATCAGCTGCTGCCCCGTCTTCTTTGCCCACTACTGGTCCTGCAGCTTGCTCCTGATTGGCGGCGATCGCTTCGGCATTGTATGAAGATCATACTGCTGCTGGCGCTGTGGCAGCTGGCGCCAGGGGCGTAAGTATACCTCCTTATCCGTTGCGATTTTTGCGAAACATTCAATGTGTTCTGCGTGGGCATCTCGGACTCCAGTAGCGTCTGTGCCGCCTGTCGAGAGAGTCATGTCGTCATTGCAGCAATTTTGTCAGACAGCTCCTGCTGTCTTCGAGCAACTTCATCCATATCTGATTGCTGTGCGACCACATCGTCTGGAAACGTCAACGCGTCACCCATGTCGATTACCAACTTATCACATTGTCCTGGCACGAGCGAACTGAGATCCGACTTCGGACACCCCTCAGTCTGTGCGGCAGGCTGGTGATGGGTTGCATGGAACTTTGCGGCCAACTCATCATGCTTGGCCGCGAAGCCGCCAATTCGATATTGAGCTGAACAGCCCAGTCTCTGTGGTCTTGCATCGCCTCTTCTCAACGGGCCACATGTTCCTATGTGTTCTGAAGCTGCTCGGCGTGGCGATTTTCTTCCGTGGTACATCTGCGAGCTGGATCTCCACAAACCAGAGCTTTGGTGGTGCCGACCCTCTCGTCATTTGGGTTGAGCGTTCCTTGCATTGTTTCGCCAATTCTCCGTCTCCCATCTTGGCTGTCAGGACTTGCATGCTGTTGACGTCTTAAGCTTCCAACTTATCGATGCTGGCGCATGCGCTGGGACTGATATGCTGGAAACCGAGAGAGACATGAACACACGCATCCATTTGGCGAATACCACATTTCCACCAATGAGGCCTGGGCTTCACGTAGGTCCGCTGGTCGTTGCGCAGTGCAGCACAGTGTTTGCACCAGGCCAATGTTGCCACATTTTTGCGCATCCGCACGACGTGCACTTCCACAGGGTGTCAGTTGCGCCTTTCCAGACCCAAGGGTCATGGATCCAGCCTCCATCCTGAATTTGGCATGTTGTGGCATGTTACCGTCTGTCGGTCTGCTCACCCGCGGGTGCGGGAGGCGGGCGACGGCTGCGGCGGACCAGCCTTCCAGAAGAGGGATTCGTAGGCTGCCACGGATCAGCGGTATCCGCGCAGTCCACAGGGGAAAACTGCATCTTGAGCCAAAATGGCTACGGAAGGAGGGAGGAGGGAGGATTAAGGAGGGAGGATGGGAAGGGGATTGAAGGAGCCGCTCATCGGCGGGCGCGTGCTATCTGCTCCCCATTAGCCATAGCATGGCTTCGTGCCCACGGCTTCTAAGGAATAGTGTCCTGGGCTAGGCGATGCTTGGCGGCTGACGCCGCCCGCCGCAGAGTGGACGTCCTCCGAACCACCTCCCAAATGCCGGGGGTGATCCACGGCTTCTTCTGCGCTGGGAATTGCGGCGACAAGGAGTGTTCCTCCTGGAGCTGGCGGGTCTCCGAGGTTAGCTCCTCGTCTTGCCTTGCAGCTTGCCACCAGAGGTTACGCGGTGCTGGTGCTGGGATGGATCCGGGCGGTGGCAATTGTTTCAGGCGGCGGGCGCGGGTATCTCCAAGCACATTTGCGCCACAACTGGAAGGTGGTCGACTGCGTCAGCTCAGTGCAGTCGTGGGCACGGCGAATCAACGCTGCCATTACCTAGGATTTGGTCTGATGATGACGATGGCCATGCTGCTGATGGTGATGGTGATGGTGATGATGCGGATGATGCTGATGATGATGACGGTGATGCTGGTGAGCATGATGATGTTGCTGCTGATAGTGCTACTTATGTTATTTCGTTGATGCTGATGGAGATTATGGTGAGTAGGAACAGGATCATGATGATGCTACTGATGATGGTTATCATACATGTGCTGATCCTTATGCTGATGATGACCATGCTGGCGATGGTTGTGGTGGCGGTTATGGTGACAGTGATTGTGGTGATGATTATGAGGATGCCGATGATGCTGATGATCATGCTGATGCTGCTACTGATGGCGATGACGATAGCGACGGCGATGACGACGACGATACGGAGGATAATCGTGATAATGATGATGCTCACGATGATCGTGGTTATGATGATGATGATGATGATGATGATGATGATGATGATGATGATGGCGAAGATGATGCTGCTGCTGCTAATGATGATTATGATACTCAGGATACTGATCATCACGACGATGACGCTGTGGACCTTGACGATGATGATGATGATGATGATGATGATGACGATGATGATGCTGATGATGCTGATGCTGATGATGCTGATGCTGATGCTGATGATCATGATGATGACGATGATGATGATGATGATGATGATGATGATGATGATGATGATGCTGATGAGGACGACGACGCTGATGATGACGATGATATTAGTGATGATACGGATGATGCTGATGATGATTATGATGGTGACGATGATGCTGATGCTGACGATGATGCTGATGCTGGTGCTGATAATGATGCTGATGCTTATGCTGATGCTGATGCTTATGCTGACGACGACGAGGACGGCGACGAGGACGACGACGAAGACGACGACGACGATGGCTACGACAACGAGCTGCAGGAGGAAGAGGAGGAGGAGGAGGAGGAGGAGGAGGAGGAGGAGGAGGAGGAGGAGAAGGGCGGCCCCCCACCCTCGAAGGTGGGGTCGAAGCTGGGCGCCGGCTCGTACAGCGAGGTTTTCGAGGCCGTCGACAAAAAGAGTGGCAAGGTGGTGGCGGTGAAGATGGAGTGGCAGAAGGCGCGCTGCGGGCAGCGGTGGGGCCGACCTCGGGCACGCCACCCCTCGTGATCAGCCCATCGGGCAGCGGGCACGGTGCCCCGACGAGTGTCCCAGGGGATTACCAGCCTGGAACAGATTCCATCCTGATCATTGGCATCACCAGATCTCGATGCCCATCTTAAGGACTCCCTCGGTTTCTCAGGGCGCATCCCTCAGAGTGTCATCACCTTCTGGCTTATCAATCTTGGGGGTAGGGACAGGTTTGGCTGGTTAGCCCCGACGAGGGGCCCCAGAGGAGGGGTCCTGGAGGTGGTGAGTTGTGTTGTCGCCCCAGGTCCTGGGTCCCTCGGAGGTCCTCAGAGGTCCCCGGAGGCCTGCACGGCGCAGGCCAAGAACGCATGAAGGCCTCCCCCTCGACCCTCCACCCTCGACCCTCGAGAAGTGTCGAGGGCAAGACTGGCACCTGGAGGGCACACCGCACACTTGCGGCCCACAGGTGACGGGGGAGGGCGCGCCTCGAGCGCAGGTGAGGACCCTAGGGAGGCGTTCTTGAGGGAAACGCTGGGCCGTCTGCACCCCAGTGGGTTTCTTCGAGACGTTCGGACCCCTCTGGAGCCATTCTGGCATGGGAGGGCATGAAGCAAACCACGTCTACATGATATGTCAAGCGTGTTTGTGTGTGCATGTGTTCGTGCGTGCGTGCGTGCGTGCGTGCGTGCGTGCGTGTGTGCTTGTGTGTTTGCGTGTTGCATGCGGTTGGAAGACGTTGGCAGGCTATGACATGCATTTGCAGACGTTCCAGGGAGGTGGCGGACGAGCTTGGAAGCATTTTGAAGTAACTCTCGCACAGTCGGTTGGCGGATGGCTTTTGTGAAAGATCCCTCGCCATGCTTTGATATACAAGTGGCACGTGTGTGCCCAGGCTCATACAAAAAAAACGAGGTCGCACTCGAGCGCAAGTGGGGTTGCCACACCTTGCGATGTGTGTACCAGGGCCCCCCAGGAAGCCTCAGGAGGCCCGACTTGGATACCAGAAGAGGCTCCAGGAGGCCCCAGGATTGTGAGTGTTGTGTGTGTGTGTGATGTATGCTCTGTGTTGTGCGTGTCTTCTGTGCGTTGTAGGTGTTGTGTGTGTGTGTGTGTGTGTGTGTGTGTGTGTTATGTTTGTCTAGCGTGTGATGTGTTGGGTGTGATTTGTGTATCTGTGTGTGCATGTAGTTCTGAGGCCCCAGGAGGCCCCAGGACGCCCCAGGCGGCCTCAGGAGGCCCCAGGAGACCCGAGGATGCTCCAGGAGGCCCCAAGAGGCTCCGGGAGGCCCCAGGAGGCCCCAGGAGGGTCCAGGAGGCCCCCAGGAGGCTCCGAGGCGGGGTCTGGGGTGCCACAAGATACAGAAAGCCCCAGGAGGCCCCATCAGGTTCCAGGAGGCCCCCAGGAGGCTCCGAGGCGGGGTCTGGGGTACAAGAAGGTACAGAAAGCCCCAGGAGGCCCCAGGAGGTTCCAGGAGGCCCCCAGGAGGCTCCGAGGCGGGGTCTGGGGTACCAGACGGTACGTCGGGGCTCGATTTTGGGAGGATGTCTCAGGCGAAACCGCCATTCTCTCAGAATCGAGTTCAAATTCACTGAACTTACCATGTGTTTTTGAAGGTTTTATGTTAACGTGTTGAAATTCCAATGTGTTTTTTTGACCCTGGCGTCACGATCTGTGTGAGGGGTGCCACCGATCTTCAGAATTTCGAGGATGTCCCTAGCGAAACGGCTAGAGGAATCGCGAACGACGCGGCGCGTATGCATTAATCGCCTCTGAGCTCTACTCCCTCGGAGAGGTGCGTATGATACTATATATATTTACAAATGTATAGATCTCTCTCTATACATACATATATATATATATGTATATATATTGCATTCATTTATACGTAGATCGTCCAAAGCGGCTGTGGTGAAATCGTATGGGGGAGTGAGGTACGTCCGAACTGTCAGGGTTTGCACGTGCACTTTGCAGTGTGAGCAGGAGAGGCGTGACATCTAAGTCACGTTTTCGACCCGCGAGGCCCGGCAGCAGTATTTGCACAAGTCGTGTGTGTTGTAGGTCACACCGTGTTCCGATCTGCTGGGGCCAGCTCTGGTGGAGTTTGAGGGCGTTTTGGACCGTTTGACCGTCCCAGGAATGGTACCTCGTGGAGTAGGAAGCGGCATCCGCTGTCCTGGGTGTCTCGTGAGAGCGTGTTGGGGGCTGGTTGGACCTTTCTGGATATATTTCGGGAAGAAACGGGCGCGGCCCTGGGGTCTTGTTGTTGTATTTGGTGGGGGTCCTCAGGGCCTTGGAGAAGTTGAGTATGGCATGCAAATCTGCGATCGGGTTTGCGAGGGTACATGGGTGTCGTTCCTCTGGGCAGATGTGTTTGTTTGTTCCTTACGTGTCGCTGCAGCTGTCTAGAGTAGACCAGGTTTGGTGTCAGATAGGGTGGTGGTTTTGAGGGGCTGGGGCCGCATTCACCCCACGATGTTCAACGCCTGACTCCCCATGAGCAGCCTCGTGCGCGCGCGCCTGTTTCCATACACTGCTGCGCATTCGTTCCCCTTGAGCTAAGCTGTCCCAGACTGTTCTTGCCGATGCAAGTGCCGCCACAGATGATACGGTAACGCAGCCTAGGGAGGCACACGTCGAATTAATTGGGAGTAGTCGCAGGCGGATCTCTGTCGTGGGGCCGCGCCATTGTGTATTCTGGCGTCAAGATCTAACCGTGCTGCAGTACTCTTAGCGCTTAGAGGCGGATCTGTTTGAGCCATCGCGCCAGCACCAGCATTGAGGCAAAGCCCTTCTGCTGCGCTCTGGGCGTATGTGCCAGCACCGTGCTGTCTGTCCTGTGGCCATGTTGTCTCAAGGCATTACTGGGTGTGGCGATTCGCAGCCCACCCGTCCAAGAAAGGGCAGCGTTTCAAATACAGACCCACTTCTCTATTGATCTTCGGTGTGGCGGCCAAAACAGCCAAATCGGAGCGGTGCTTCCCGCTTGCCTCAAACGGGAGGCGCCTGCGGCAAGCCCCCTTTGGCCCGGATCGGCATTATGGCAGTGCCAATGTCTTTCCCGCGCGAGATGCTGGCGATGCAGATCCCATGCGCCGATGCAGACCCCATACGCCGAAGTAGACCGCGGCTCGCAGCTCCACAAGGTGGGCCAGGCCAGAGGTCTGAACGGTGCTCAGCTCCATCTCTGCCGGCAGGGGTGCTGGGGTGCTGGTAGAGCGACCGGACATTTCGATAGAATTCGTCGACATTCTCTTGGCCCAGCTGGTTGGTCACCACCTTGCTGACCCGGGCTGGCGAGCAGCGGCAGCTCGATGCCTCCGTCCTCAACCTGGGCCTTTTGTCCAGAAGCACCCGCGATCGTCTTGGCCACGTTTGCAGCTGCCTCTGCGGCCTCTCGAGCGGCAGCCGTGCGCTTGCAACTGCAGCCTGGTCGCCCGGCGGCGGGGCCTCCGGGGGAAGGCCCGCCGCGACCGCCCGCGACTGCCCGCGCTGGCCGCGAGTGCGCCACGCAGAGGTCTCGCCCGGCGGCCACGGCCGCCGCGAGCATCGGGGCTCAAGAGACAGGGGTCAAGGCAAACGGCGGTCAGCCAGAGCGCCCAATCTTGCAGGATCCTGCAGGGCCAGGGTCGCATTGACACGGGCTTGGGTGCAGGATCCTGCAGGATCTTGCAGGATCCTTCGCGTTGACCCCGGTTTGGGTGCAACATATTGCAGAATTTTGAGGATTTTGCAAGGCCTGACTGACCCGGGTCTGGATTGGCCCGGGTCCGCAGATTCCCGAGAGCAGCAGGGGGGCGATCTTTGCTGTCTCGCCCGCCGAGTCGCCAACCTCGTCCGACTGGGCGTGCCCGCGGGACTGGTCGTTGTCGATCGCCGCGAGGCCACGGTGCTCCAGACGTTCCGCAGTGCCTCCGTTGTGCTTTCGCCAGTCCCCGCGTGCACAAGGGGCTCGCCAAGGGCTGTCTCATCGCGCTCGGCTCGGCCGCGGCAGCCTCCATGTCACAGAAGCCTCTCAAAGGCCAATCTGCGAAGCGGGCTTGTCTGCAGGATGCGATTCAACACATCAGATAATTTTTTGAGCCAAGTTCGCAGAGCTGGCGTTTATATTTCGTATCCAGATGCTTCGGGATACTGATCCGTTGCCGCTGCTGCCTGCTGCTGCCGCGCGCTGGGATGGGTGGGCCGGCAGGCATGGCTGGAGCGCGTGAGCCTTAGTGCGCATTCCGTCTTGCACGTGAAGGTGCTGGGATGGTGTAATATAACAGGGTGGTATGCATATCAGTGCAAGTGTCGAAGGTATCACCCATACTTTCTTGAGCGCCTTAACTGAGGAGCGGCGTTTGTACTGCACTGCCCTGGCCCTCCTTATTCACCACTCTGAGGGGCGCGGTGTCCCCCCACCCCTTGGGGGGCTTTGTCTCTACCAGGCCACAGGCACTTAAATGGTTACGAGGGGCGGGCGCTGTAATGCTTGGGATTTCGTAGTCATACGATAAGGGCTATTCTGGGTTGCCGTTGCCCTCTCTCATTCGTAGAGACTGTCGTCAGACTCCTCTGTTGTCGTACGATTGTGCGGAACACGAGATGTTGGCGATGCACTAGCGTTGGGAGTTTACGTCAGGTGTCATACTTGCTTGCGCGCTGTTTCGAAGTTGAAGGCTCATAGTGATCATGCGTACCTTCATTTATGACATCTTACCAACCGAGTATGCGGGATGGTGGATTTCAAACATGCTGACTTTCCAAACCAATCTACACCACACAGGACGGAGTTGGCCACTGACACCATATCTAAGAAGTCTGTGCGCATTAAGGATGTGGGGCAGTGCGACCACGTTGGCGTTACAGAACAGGGATAAGAGATGCAGATAGCAGATGACCCTGAGTGTGAAGACCAAACAGGGGTGACGGCGGTATGATTATGGCGTGCTGATGTTTCCGTATGAGCAGGGGAGGGAGGAGGGAGGGCAACGGGGCGCGTCCTGGCATGGCTTTGTTATGAGGCTGAGAAGACAGACAAGCTCCTCTGGGAGGCGGAGCTGTACAAGGAGCTTCAGCATGGAGAGGGCATTCCAAGGCGCGTGTCCGACGTCATCGGCAGTAGTGGCGGACGTTGCCGAAACGACAGGCATAGCAGAGCTGGTAACCATACAACGTAGAAACAGCCACATTGGTCGTGGAACACATTGCATCGAGAACCGGTTGATTCCGCGTATTCAGCGAACATGCAGTACAGGTGAACTCGCATAGACGCATGGCTGGCGAGTGAAGTGCGTGTATGTCATACGTATGTTTTTCTTTTTTTTTGGGGGGGGGGGAGGTGTGTCGTTGCTTGTTGATCCCCATACCAGTCAGTGCCCACTTTGTCCGTTGAAGTGTCCCCCTTGGCTTGCGCCCTGTTGTTTTGTAAGGGGAAGTTTTGCTGCTCAAGCTGCGCCCCTGGCCGCTCCGACTCCAACAATAACTGCTCCCGCCTGAGACGTTCCTACAATCTATTCAGGGATCGCGCTCTCGCCCGAGACATCGCGAGATTCGCTCTCGTCCGCTCGTCTTGGAATCGCGCTCTTGCCTTAGACTTGCAATTTACACAGGCTCTGAGCTTTCGGTGCCCAGGAATCGCGCTCTCACCCGAGACTTCCTGCCAACTTTGTCAGGGATCGTGTAATCACCAGAGTCTTCTTACAATTTACGGAGTTCCCTTCATGTCCCCGTCCGCCCAGTTCGCTGTTAATGCCCGCCCGCTAGACCGGCCCGTGGGGGTCTGGCCGCCCAACCCGCCCGTCAGGATCCGCCCGTTCGTCTGTTTGGAAGCCCGCCCGCTCGTTCGGGTCCGTCTGGCGGGCCAGCCCGTCAGGGTCCGCCCGCTCGACCCACCCGTGAGGGTCCCCCCGCCTGACTTGCCCGTCAGGGTCAGCCCGTCTCTCTGCTTGGAAGCCCGCCCGCCCGCTTTATGGGTCCGCCCGCCCAGCCAGCCTGTTAGGGTCTATCCGCCCGACCCACCCGATAGGGTCCAGTTGCCAATTTTCTTGCTCCTCTCCTCCCCGTCCTGCTACACCTTTTCCGTCCTGAATCCTTCTTCCTCTCCCTGGACCTTCCTTTCTCCTTTACTCCTCCCTTCCTCGCCTTCTCCCTTCTTCTTTTCTCTTTCCGCTTCCTATACAAGGGTTTGTGCCAACCCCACGTGGCTTGCACGGAATCTATGATCCTTGGTAGAGGGTTTACAGCCTCCCCCTTCCCAGATGGGATGGGTCCCGGGGTTCAACAGCCCCCCACCTGCCCCCCCAGATTGGATGGGGGACGACGACGACGCCGACGACGACGACGACGAGGACCACGACGACGACCACGACCACGTCCACGACCGCGACCACGACCATGACAACCACCACGACGACGACGACGCCGACGCCGACGCCGACGTCGACGGAAGGCGACGTTGACGACGACGGCGACGACGCTGGTGGCGACGACGACAACGACGTCGACGACAACGACGACGTCCACCCTCCACCACGCCACGCCCACAGGGCCACGACCACAGGGGGTGGGGGATGGGCGATCATATTCGCGAGGAATTCGCGAGGATCACGGGCGTACCCATCCAGCGGGGGCAGGGGGAGAGGGCGATCCCATCAGCATTGGAGAGGGGGGGGTCGGAGCCCTGGATCATATGCACCCTCGAGGGAGGCACCATGAGCGACGAAGAGGGCGGGTATCAAGGGCTTGGGGTCTACATGCTGGGTGACACGCGAGCAACGAAGAGCAAGCTATAGTATCACGACTGTGTTGTGTGTATATATATATATATGTATCCCAACGCTCCTGCGTTGGGTACTCGTCTTGAACAGAACACTGCGGTCTCCACCTCCTTCCTCCTCCCTCTTCTCCTCCCATTCCTCCTACCTGCCTTCAACCCTGCCTCCTATCTCGCCATCCCAGGGGGGCTGCGATCTGCGAATCTGTAGCTCAGATCAGACCTCGCCATCCCAGGGGGACCGCGATTTGCGAATCTGTCGCCACGTTCGAGGGCTGCTGGGGGGTCCAGCGGAGTGACGCCCCACGCAAATTCAAATGAGACCTCGCCGTCCTTGGGGGGCTGCGATCTGCGAATCTGTCGCCACTTTCGAGGGCTGCTGGGGGTCCAGCGGGGCGACGTCCAGCCCAGATCCAAACTAAACCTCGTCGTCGTTGGGGAGCTGCGACCCCGGCCTGGATTTCCTGGCCCGCGGCCCGCCCGCAGACCTGGCAACGCGCCTTCGAGCATTTAGCGCCCGCGCTGAAAAGTGCGGGACGGAGGCATAGCCGCTGGCGAGCGAGCTGGGCCTCGCTCGCTTCTTGCAGTAGCTGTGAGCAGGTTGGATCCTTTCCAGCGCCGCGGAGGCGTGGCACCGGCAGCGCTGCATCTTCAGCGTGCGATCGACAAAAGCAGCATTCTGCGGTCTTCTCCCGTCACGTTCGTCGGCGTCCTCTGGCCCTTGCCGCCTTCCCTCTGCTGCTGCCGCGCTGACGATTCGGCCCCTCGCGCGTCCTTCTCCTGTCCTTCGTTCCCGCCGCATGTCCTCCCCAAGCATGGGCCCACGCTCCGCGTTCTTCTCTTGTTGTCCTGTGAATCGTGCCACGCGAGCGTGTCCCGTGTAGCTTGCACAACGTATAGCGGTGCCGGCACTCTCATCGTCCTGGCAAGTTTGGGCCAGCTCCGACTGTCACTTGATACAAATCGGTTGGGTACATCGTATGCTAATTATCCTGGTCAGGTTTTGGCAGGGCGAGGTGATATTGCCGAGCCGCATCGCGTAACGAACGAGTCTTTCATTCCATCCATCTCCTTTCGCCTCTTCAGGTCGTTTGCGGCCTTCCGCCAAGCGTCTCAGCGCCTTCTTAGGCTGCCCGTGGGGCTTCATCGTGGGGGGTCTTCATCGTGGGGGGCACTTTGGGGCCTCTGGGCTGATTCTGGAAATCTCTTGCGGGGTCACCTGGAAGTTTCGGGCGTATCATCTTTAGGCCCTCTGAGGGCCTTCTTGGGTGCCGAACAGCGGCCTGAAGACCAAACTATTTCAACAATATTGGCATCGTCTTGGAATCGTGTTAATCGTCCGAAGCCCTCTGTGGACGGTTTGGAGCCAAAAGGATGCCCTACTGGCGTGTGCGTCTAACGCGGCAATCCGCGTTCGCGAAGTTATGGTGATCAGCACCTTGACGCCCTCAGTTGCCTTCGAACTTTGGTTTTGGCCGCATATATACAAAACAAGCGCGTGGGCGAGTGCTATGCAGCTTCCCCTTCCGCGATGCAAAGCTCAGGGCGTCGAAAGACGACGAGGGCAATGGATCTCTTCGGTGACACGATCGCGTCACTTTATCGCTTAGCTTTGCACTACGAGAAGGGGCGGAACGGGGGAACGCTGGCTTCGCGCTCGCACATACGTGGAGACGGATTGTGTAGTCATCAACTTGAGTAGGTAAGGGCCAACTCTTCCCGAGCGTTCGCCGATGCGCAAGTAGTGTGAAGCGTGCCTTTGCGGAGATCTGGCTTGGCTGCTCAATGTTCGCCGGTCGTTTTCAACGCACACGCCAGTGTTGAAGACGTGTTCTGTTTTTCTCGGTATCCTCGTCGACACCTGGCGGTTGGAACACCAACACCATCAACCATCGTGAGGTCGGTGGCAGAGGAGGAGGCGACTAGGGTTACCTCTGCCGGGCCGAGGCCCTCCGCGCTGCGGGATGCCTGGGGTCGGGGGAAGCACGAGAGCGTGGAACCGCTGCAAGCCCTTAGTTGGGAACGGGAGCCCGCTGTATTTTACTTAGGATATTGGCTCTGGCAGCTAGTGCGCAGAACATTGAGAGCGAAACGTCGCTCTTCTTCTGCGAGCGGGTCGTGGCCAGTCAGGAGGAATCGTGACCCTGAGAAGGATGAACCCTCCCTATCTCAAAGCGGATCATGGCCCGAGTGGCGAGGCGCCTTCGAATCATCGTGCAAGGGCAGTGGTCGAATTAGCAACGTCAATGTCGGAGTGAGGGGGCCCGAACGGGCCTACCTCGTCCTTGCGCTCTCGTGACTGGATGGAGGGCTGTGTCTCTCGGGGCAAGGCATGGGGGCAGCACTTGAGGGCGATGTGTGGGGACAGTGCTATGGGGCAGTACGTGATGGCAGTACATGGGGGCGGTACTTCGGGGCAATACTTGAGGGTAGTACACTTGGGGACAATACTTGGGGGCAACACTTGGGGGCAATCTGTGAGGCCAGTACTTGGGTGCGGTACATGTCCGCCCCCCCTTCGCTCTTATCCGCAAGTGCGGCGTTCTAGGTCTGATGCACCTGCTCGCGTTGTGCATCGGCGTGGTGCAGAGATAAGCGTGGATGCCTACTTCAGGTCTGGCTCACAGGAGTTTATCGAAGGGGACCCATGGCAAACGCTACATTGAATGATGCACGTCGCGATCATCACCGCATGATGGCCAACCAGGTGTCAGCTAAACTCATCAGCCCTTCGTGTCTCGAGGCCCTGCGAAGAGGCGCATACTTACAGAAGGCAGCGCAGAGGAAAAGAGCGAATTGGAAGGTGTACGTGCCGACCTATTCACATTTCAATGGTTCAAGACTGATTGCTATCTACGGCCTTAGTTTTGCAAGGCATCCTGTGCCTCGTTCCGCTTTGGGACGGGTGGTGCTTCTGGGTTTGCACAACTCGCCGTTTGCTCATCTTGCACCCGCTTGCTGCAGTGAGCAGCTGGCTGTTGCAATTTCGTGCTTTGTCTCTCGAAGCTTCTGCTGCTTACCTGCTCATACCCCGTTCCTGTCTTTTTTTCGTTTCCCCCGTTCCTGTCATTAGTCTTTTTACTTGTGCTCTCTTTGCCATCGGCGTGGCCGCATGTTCGCGCCAGTGGGCGGCCCCGCGGGTATAGGCTGGCTGGGCTGCCCCGCCCTGTTCCCGCTTCGGCTCCCCCTTCCCTGGAGGGTTTCTCCGAAGGTCTTAGGCGACCCGTCTTCCTCCTCCTCCTCCTCCTCCTCCACCTCCTCCACCTCCACCTCCTCTTCCCCCTCCTCCTCCTCCTCCACCTCCTCCTCCTCCTCCTCCTCCTCCTTCTCCTCCTCGGGTCGGCTACGGCCCGGGGGGAAACCGTGCACCTTTCCCCCTTCCCCTCGCGGGCGCATCTGCCATGTCACCTCCTCCGCCGAGGGTCCGGTGGGTCGGGAGCCAGGGCGAATACAACATGATGGTCCTGGACGTGCTTGGTCCCTCGTTGGACGACCTCTTTAAGAAGCAGAGAAGGCGGGGCGCCTAGGGCAAGCGCGTTTCAGAGGCACCCTGGCCGACCCCTCAGAGGGGCCCGATGAGATGGATCTGGAGCGCTGGGGGATGCTTCTGGGACGCTGCGCAGTCGTGGACGCGCAACGCAATTCATCTTCCTTCCAGCTCCTCCGAAGATGAGCCCCTATGCCGCCGCAATATCGGCAGGTCGGTTCAGAGAGGCATGCAGGCATTTAGTGAATGTTGCGAATGAGTTGCGCAACGGGCATGTGGGCATCGCGTGTGGACGGATGGTGCGACCGCGAGAGTTTGTGACATCATGAGCAGCGCACGGTATGCAATTTCTGTCAGCGGGCACCCTGGCGCACTCGGCTGTTCTGTGTCACATCTCGGGCCCTCTGACGATGCGAACAGCCTGCCGAGGTTCAGTGTGAAGACCGTGGTCATGATTGCGAAGCAGGTGAGCCTGCAATGGGAATCGATCTGCTCCGTTGATCGAACTAGCGAGCGCCCTGGCGATGCTCAGAGCCCGTGGCCTTCCAGTGGGTAGTGGGTATGTGCCTCAAGCTGCTTGGGTAGGACGGGGGGGAGTCTCGGCGAATCCGGTGTCGGAGGGCTGGGAGGGAGGAGGGAGGAGGGAGTATGGGGGGATGCAGGAGGCTCTTGAGCTGGATCGGAGTTTTGCCTTGTGGTAACACCTTTAAAAATAATAGTGCGCTCAATTTCGGAAGGCCCTCCCAAGCCATGAAGCCACTCCTCCCGTGGCTTGAGGTCTGATGAGTCCTGGACTCTTCGACCCAGTGCAGTCTGGCGGATGATTATGTCGCGCCTCCCGTGCTGAAGAAGCGTTTCCGACTCGGTGTTGCTTTCGATTATTAGTCGCCGCTTCGCTCATTCCGCCGGCCCTGGAGCGCTCTTTGGGGCCTCTTGGGGGCCTCTTGGGGCTCCTTGGCGGCGTCTTGGGGGCCCCTGCGGCCTCTTGGGGGGCTCTTGTGGGCCTCTTGGAGCGGGAGGGGGAGGTAGTGTCGAAAAATGGCCCTGCTCTGGGGCGTTCTGGGGGGATCGCCCCGGAGTGGGCCTGAAGAAGCGTTTCCGACTCGGTTTTGTTTTCGATTATTCTCGGACAATGCATTGCACGATTCATTATGCGCATGTTTCAACGGTTGTTCCAGTATTCGACCCAGGGAAGCACTATGTAGTAATCATGCCATCGATGTCTGCCCAGACGTACGACATTCGTCCAGACACGCGCTTGTTCATACAATATACACAATTCCTGCAGAGTGGACGGGACTTGGCAGGCAACTCGGAGAGACATATTGCACACCTGAGTATGTATTTGTCTGTGCCGAGCCTGTTTCATGGTTGCGTGTTTGTTTAACGCAAGACCAGACAGTTAATCACTGCTGTGCGACATGCTGCAGCAGGACCGCCGAACCAACATTCCAATAGAGAGGTACTTGAAGGTATGCGCACGCTTCACGTCTGCCTGGACACATGTGCGGTGCTTGCGTCTACATATGTACCGCTTCGTGGCCTCTCACGTAGCTTGCTGCCTCCGGAATCAGGACCCAATTCGTAAGCGGGCGCGCTTGCATCCATACGCCTACATGTCCAGCTGCAGAGTATACTTTCAACGCGCGTATGGCTCACGGTTGTTTGCACCATCTGCAACGCCAACTAATATAATGGCCTGCGGCTCATCGCGCCACTATGCTTGGTTGGTGGGCCAGAGTGTGAATTAAACCCTCTGGGGCTCCATGCATGAAGCAAATCTATTTCACGTTTCTCATCGATGTGAGATTGAACGTTCTTTTGAATTATATTTATCAAGTTCGAGAGTATTATTAGAAGGCCGCTTGAGAATGGAAGCATGCCTTAGTGATCGGACCGAGGGTGAATCCTTTCGATCACTTTGCTGAAGCGTCATTGCGAGCCGGTTGCATTGCGATGAGAGCGAGCGCGTAAAGCGTTCGGGTAGTCATTTAGCTGCAGATGCGTATTCTTCTGAGTCGTTGGGGGACTCCTCAGAACCTTAGTTGCCTCGCTGCGCCCGTTTTGAAACGCAACACGTCCCGTGCTCAAGACGTCCGCGTCAATACGTTGCGTGTTGGCTCCACGTATTGGACCACGTTTTGGCGAATGTTTCGCGTCGGACCTACGTTTTCAGCCTAAATATTGAGCTCCGTATCAATACGATAAGTGTTGCGTGTTGCGTATCGGGGCAGCTTAGCTCAGAACGCATCTTGGTCGTGAGCACCTAGAGGCATCCCGGCGCCTCTCAGGAGGTCTCCTGGAGGCCTCTTCGGGGCCTCCTGGAGGCCTCTTGGGTTCCCATGGATTTCTGGATCTTTGTCCTTGGACCCTTGGACCAAGTGGAAACCAGGGCATCTCCAACATTCTGTACCAAGACAATGTGACGGGACAGGCCTGGCGCCGACAGGCGGTGCATCGCTCGGGAGTGCCGAACAAAACATCCTGGAGGCCTCTTGGGAACCTCCCCAGACGGGGGAGAGTTCATCTTTCGATCGTGGCTGTGCTTTACGTTGTGAAGCATCTTGTTCTAGCAGTGCGGCGGGCAGACTCCTTGCGGGCCTGGCGGGCGGTGAACCGCGGGCTCCTGACCGGGGCCGTGGAGTAATAACAATACAGATCTAGTAGTACGAACGGATCCTGGCGCATGGCCAGAATTCGGCTTTCGCCTGGGACTTCTTCAAAATACGAGCGGTTTCTGGTGTGGTTTTAAACGGTTTCCTGTAGGTATCCTGCGATTGCCGTTCGATTCTATTTTGCGTTTCTTCACGCACCGAGCACAAACACATGTGTTTTCTCCTCAGACATCTTCACCCACATGTTGAGATCAACTCAGGTTCCAGCCGTTTTCGAACAGGTTCCTAGAAGTTCCCGCGGTTTCACTCGATTCCGTCTGCGCTTCTTCGCGGATTTCACGTCTGAAATCTTCATTGTTGCGTCGGGAGTCCTCACAGAAACAATCGTCCGTGACAGTTGCGCTGCGTTCGTAGAAGGACTCGCCAGGATCTTCCAGTGGTCTGCGCTGACCAAGGCGTCGCGCACTATCGCCATTTGCGTTGCCGCGTCCGCCGATGCAGGCGCCGCTGAGGTTCGTTCGGATACAATGGCGTGCTCGAGCCAAGAAAGCGCCGGCTCAACCCGCAATGGCTCTGGAATCTGGCTTTCATGTCTTATGCCCAGCGGAAGGCAACACAAATTGAAAGCAGAGACTGTCGGCACGCACAAGGAGGTGGAGGAAGGGGTGAAGGCTTCTCAAAAGGAGGCTGGTTCTTGGAAGGCGCCGGCCCTACATCTATAGATACGGCTCGCGCTTTCTTAGAAGCACGGGTGCTTCTACGAATCCCTCCCCCTTCCCCTCATTCCTTTTTGCGTTTGGCAGAAAAAACCCGGCAGAAAAAACTGTCCCCTGTCTGCTGGGAACAGCTGGGGGCCTTTTGGGGGCCTTGAGGCGTTCTTGGGGGCCACCTGAGGGTGTGGGGTCCGCATCTCTCCGAGTTCCCTCAGACTGTTGGGCTCCTTTTGGGGGCCTCTTGGCCTCTTTTGGGGCTGTCTTCGGGCTCTCTTGGCCGTTTTGGGGTTCACCTGGGGGCCTCTTGTGCCGTCTTGAGCGCTTATGTTTTCAATGTTTTTTTGTTTCCTTGGGCTGCTTTCCAGCGCCATTAGGATGGCCCAAGAGGCCACCAGGGAAAGCCTCGGGACGGTTTTTGGAGCCACCACTGGTTCCTGAGACTTCTTGGGCGTTTCGTGGAGGCTCGAGGTGGACGTGTGGCTTCCCGGCTGCCCACTGATGAAACGTAGGGACGATTGTGAGCGTCCAGGAATTTTGGCACATTCGCGGTCCGGGCTCACATTTGTTTGAGCGTTGGGGCACTCCTTAAGAGTGGCCCAAGACATGGTGACGTACATAGACGTGCGCGTATAAAAAAAAAACACACACGGGCAGTTTTTTTTTTTTTTTTTTTTTTTTTTTTTTTTTTTTTTTTTTTTTTTTTTTTTTTTTTTTTTTTTTTTTTTTTTTTTTTTTTTTTTTTTAAATTTATATGTATATAGTATGTTATATATACATAGTATTTAAATATAGTCTAGCTCACATCTCCCTGTGTGATCTACTTTTCTCGTCTTGATTTGCTTCCTTATTCCATCGTTTTTTCACCGTCTAATCTTCCGTTCAGTGTATCTCTTGGGTGCCATTCCACATTGTTCTTCTCTGACTTATTCCACCTCCGTCTCCCCCTTTCTCCATTCTCCATTATCCATTCTCCCTCCTCTATTATCCTTGCTCTGTTACCTCTCCTCTCTCCTCCGTTTTATCTTCTCCGTTCTCCCTTCTCTCCCCTCCCCTTTTGCGTTCGCCCTCATGTGTTCTCCCTCTTCTATTCCCCCTCCTCCATTCTTCCTACTCCTGTGCATTTGTCGTCCTGTCCCTTTTTTGTCCTGTCTGTTTTTCCGCTTTGTCCCATTTTCGTCCTGTCTGCTTTTTCGTGGAGTCGCATTTTCGTCTGTGCATTTTTCGTTCTGTCCTTTTTTCGTCCTGTGTTTTTTCCCGTTTTGTTCAATTTTCGTTTTGTGCCTTGTTTCGTATTGTCGCATGCTCGTCCTGTCCATTTTTCGTCCTGCCTCTTTGTTCCAGGTTATGTTCCCTTTTCGTCCTCTTCCCTCTTTCATTTAGTCGCATGTTCGTCTTGTGCATGCATTTGTAGTTCTGTCCCTTTTTCTTCATGTCCATTTCTCTGTGTTGTCGCATGTCCGTCCTGATCCTTTCGTATTGTCTCATTTCCGTCAGTCGCATGTGTAGTCCTGTCTTCTTTTCTGTTTTGTCGCATGTTCGGTCGTCCTGTCCCTTTTTCCGTTATGTGAAGTTTTCGTTCGGTCTTTTCTTCGTTTTGTCGCATGCCCATTTTGTGGATTATTAGTTCGCCCTGTTATGTTTTTCGTTTCGTCGTGTGTTCGTCCTGTGCATTTTCAGTTCTGTCCCCTTTTCGCCCTGTTCCTTCTACCGTTCTGTCGCATGTCCTGATCCTTTTTTCGTATTGTCGTAGTTTCGTCCTGTGCATGTTTCATCCTGTTTCGTTCGTTTGTTCTCTTGGACCTCTCTCAGAAAGCCTTCGCGAGGTGGCGAGGAGCGGTGGGCGCCGAGCTACTAAACGTTTGGAGCGGTGGGCCCCGAAGAGGTACACCCACTAGTAAGCATTGGTTATCAGCTTTTTTCTGCCTTCGTCTCTGCGCTCTGTTCTGTTCTATCAACAAATAACACCACTTGCGGTCCGAGATTCCAGGCGAGCGCATATTCCTTAGCTCACAGACCAGACGTCGAGCCACGAAGACTAAGCAGCGAAAGGCTAACCCATTTCTAAACATAATCCTCAGCTTCATTGTGTCTTCGTCACTGCGCCACGTAAGGCTTCTGTGTGGGAGCGCCAGAAACCA